CCCCAAAACCCCAAAACCCCAAAACCCCTCTAAGTCTTTGTCCTATTTTAAAGTTTATTAATAGCCAATATTCCTCAAAAATGGGGCTTGAAGAGTTTACAGGTCATCCATCCTAAGCTTGGTTTTATAGCTTGAAAACTTGGAGGGTCAAACTCTGAATTGTTCACCTTTGTTTCCCTTTACTTTCCCTTTTGGAAGAGTAGCTCTTGTAGTAGAGTTAGAGTTATCAGTCTTCTTGATCCTGAAACTTTGACTAAACTTAAGATTTCTCTGAGCTAGAGGGCTCTTCACCTTTCTGAGAGGAAGAGGAGATTTCACAGAAGTATTTTTAACCCTTGACACAGTAAAATGTGTCTTCTTGTGTGAAAAAATTCTATTTCTCTGACACTATTTATTGAGTTAGAAAGAAAAGATATTCAAAAATTACCCTTTTTAAGGTCTTGCAAATTAGGCTTGACTTAGGTGAAACAACTGAAGGCATCCCAGGGGATGTATCCCCTGGGATGATTCTCTTCACAGGACTCATCGAAGGCATATTTTTCTTCATCTTTCTTATCTTTGTCACGAGTAAATTAGCCACTTTTGCTTTATGTATCATAATATTCTTCAAGGTTGCTTTCTTTTCATCTTTATTTCTCTTGCCACTTTCTTGGTCCTTCTTAGTATCAGCTGATTGATCCTCAGATGATATTACTGAGAGTGCACCCTCTTCAATTCCCTCTTCCTCTAAGACTTTGACCATTTTCCCAGTAGTATTTACTGGCGAGTTGGAAAATACTGAACCTCTTATTTTTGAATTTGTTTGAGCCCTGATGACTGGAACAAATTTTGAGATCCTCTATTTAAAATTTTTGTTAAGATCATAAAATTTGGAGAAAAAGACTTGTTACAAATTAATATTTTTCGATATTTATAAGACACTACTAGGAACATAGAGAACAACTGAACCAGATTTAAAGACCCTGCCTATACATATCAGGAGAAAGCACATTGGTAAATTTTCATCCAATATACATTGAAACAAGCATGATACTCAAGATCCATTTCAGAGATTTTCGGCTAGTTACTTACCTTTCCAGTATTATTTATATCTGCCAGAAATGAAACTGATCTCTTATCCTGAGAGCTACTCTTGCTAGAAGGAGCTATAACAGATAGCCTCTGATGAATTTCCTTTGGAAGAATCTTTTTAAGCATTTGGAGCTTCCTTTTACCTAAAAAATTATTAATATTGTAAGAAAGTTTGAAATGGACTTACTTCCTACGTTTATAAGGTCAGTCTCATCTTTCTCAGGGTTTTGTTGGTCTGAATCCTCCTCTCTCAAGGTTTGGCCAACTTTGTTTTTACCTAAAGTAAATTATAGGTTTCTTCTTAAAAGTTCGAAGAATTTCATATAGGGCTTATTGAAAAGAAGCGTCTGGTATTTCAAAACTAGCCAGCACATAACCAAAGCCTTAGTAACATCTGCCTACCACTATTAGTATTGAAATAAGTCATATTGGGGATATAAAGTGTCCTTGATTGGATATTGAGCAGCTGGTTTCTCAATGCATCATCTGTCTCAATCTTCTTCATGCAATTAATTAAGGATCCTAGAAATTTACAATAAGAGCTTACTTTCATGCATAATGTACTTTTCTTGGTTGAAGAACATGGCATGTTTCTCTATTCTCTGAAGGTTTCCCCCAAGTAAGCTTTCGAGATCTTCTTTAGACTGGATGGCCTGTTTCAAGAGCTTGAAGTATAATTTATCATGTGTCAGTGTCAGAAATGCCAACATTCGTTTATCGTCATCATATTTCTTCCCTTTTATAAACTTTTGAAATATGTAGCTTTGGTAAACCTCAAAATTGTTGAGAATAGTTGTTTTAAGATTACTCAACTTTTTAAGAGATGCTAATACTTCTCTCTGACAGTTACGAATATTTACTAAATAACTCATGTTCATATTCTTCTTGAATATAAACTCGCTGAATATTTTCCAAGGGTTCTTGGTATAAGTAGACTTCATCTCATCAAAAGATATTTCATGACAGAGGTCGGGAACGATGATAGATGTACCACCAGATGTGCGGAGGATCTTGGAGATCTCCTCTGATTCTTTCTGAATTTCGCCTGTTTCAAGGATGCCTACTCTTTTTGTCTGGGGAAGTTTGAGACCACTCTATAAAATTCACTCATAATTCTGGGAAATACTTACATTATCTTTCACTGCGTCTTCTGAGAATACTTTCCTAAGGACTATATTCCGTGTTGGCTTCAGAATCTGGCGTCCTCTTATTTTCTATTGATGACTTAGGTCACGTACCTTAGCTTCTAAATACTTCTTTGAGTTCTGCCTCTTGAGCTGTAAGGTTTTAGTATGCTCCTAAAGTGGAATTAGATTTGAAAGATTGATAATATAGGACATTTACTCTCATTTTTAAGGCTCAAACCACCCAGAGCTCTGTAGACCCAAGCCCTGCAAGATATAAATAGTAGAGAATTTAACTAGAAGATTTAGCTAATTAGTTGAGATAGGCTAAGAACTGACTAAGTTAGCACGCTTTTCTGGAAATTTTGAGGATGATATATGTAATTCAAATTATTACTCACTAGAGGAACAAACTTCATTGAAAAGTTCAGAATATCTATTGGTATGGTAGGATAAGACTAGGCTAGTAACTGCTTAGAGCTTATAAGTCTAAGAGTTATCCCAATGACGGCTAATAATAGGGTAGACTTATAATTTCTCTAACTCAGCCTGATAAGAATCGAAGAGTTTTAGTAAGAAATATGGTATGAGAAAGTATGAACACTGATACTAAGTCTTCACACTATCTCTGGAAAGCTCTAGGAAAGTCAGTACAAACATCATAGCTTATGAACATAGGATGGAAATGAATCTGTTCTGTAAATACTAGTTTGTGTTTAATAAAGTAATTAAATAATTTTAAAGCAGCAGAACTCTTTCTTATCTATACTATACACTCTTTTTATTAATCCAATACTATTGGAGTTCTTTGTCTCTAATAAAATATATATTTCGTTCTTTTTGCCTTCTGAGACACTTTTTATACAAAACCTTATTGAGCCTAAACTTTGCACTTACATCATCAAGAGTGTTTCGAAGGGATTTCATCTGAGGTAATTGTGACCTGGGTTTAAAATCTTCTAAAGTCTATTAAATGATACAAATACTCGTTGCAGATGTATGTAAATTAATAGAAACGTTCTCCATTTTGTAAATTTTTGACTATTTTCCTAAATTTATCCTATTTATTCACTTTTGGGGTTTTGGGGTTTTGGGGTTTTGGGGTTTTGGGG